GCCGTTTGTGATCTACACAGATCATCCTTCATTACGCCCTGCAACTCAGTCGCCTCACCTCTCGCAGAGGATGGCTAATCTTTACACATAAAACTTCGAGGTGAAGTATAAGCCAGGAACGCTGAATGCTTTGGCTGAAGCGTTATCACGCAGACCAGATTATGAGATTGATCATGTCACGATGGTGACGTCGTCAGTGGAGGATTTGATCCGCGCCGCATACACGGGTGATAGTATGAGTACAGCCCTACTACAGGCTCAAGGAGTCTGGAAACTCGAACAAGAAGTTGTCAGTGCGTTTGCTCACATGGTTACACCGATATTCGTTAAGTAACGGGTTGTTGTATTAAAGCACTGACTCGACAGATACGCCACGAATTGTATTTCCCCGCGATAAGGATTTAAAATACCGTATCCCTCGATATGGCCCAGGACACCCCACTTATTGGTCATCTCGGTCGTGGACAGACGTACAGCTCGGTGGGTTGCCATTTTTGTTGGCCCAAGCTGTTACAAATTGGGGAGCGCATATGTGCGCACGTGTGAGACGTGTTAAAGGGTGAAACCATCTCCGAATGCGGCGGCGCCGCTGGCCAGTTTACCGGCACCCTCCGGGTGATAGCAGTCCAAAAGTATGGACTTTGTGTTTGGCCTGCCGGAGGGCTCGGCAGGCAACACGGGTGTAGTGGTCGTTGTGAACCGTTCAAGAAAGATGGCTCATCTTGCGGAAGTGCCGGGCACCATCGACGGTGTGGGTAAAACGACACTGTTTGTCGATCGTGTCTTTCGACAGCATGGACTCCCGGAGTCAAATATCTCTGATAGAGGCCCGCGCTTCACTAAAAAGTTTTGGTCTACACTCTTCCGGGTTTTGAGCACCAAGTTGACTATGTCAACAGCGGACCATCCGCAACGATGGTCAGGCAGAGCGCGTTAATCGCGTCGTTGAAGACGATCGTCGCAGCGTCTTTGCTGAGTCACCGAAGCGCTATGTTTCCACTCGTAGAGTTTGCTCTGAACAATGCAGTGCATTCATTCCCAGCTACACACCGTTCTACGTCAACGGGCTTATTAATATCCGCGCGTCCCGCTGACACCGCCATCCCATGGTTCAGGGCTTGGCGGGGGGAATAGCCGAACGGCAAGCTGATGTCAGCCCCCTCACCGTGCGAAAAAAAGTCAAAGACTTCCTGTCTACTAGATTGAGTGTCTTACTAGACTTCGCGATGCGATGGCTGAAAGCCAAGACATGCAGAAGGAATATGCTGACGGAAAAGAAGAAAAAATGTTGAAAAAATTAAGGTCGGAGACCTGGTTTTATTTAATGCTAAATTTCTCGCTACACATGCGGTTTCTGCTGTCTTTAAGACAAAACTCCGTCCACAATTTATTCAACCTTTTTAGATCGTTGCCAAGCGAGGCCTAGCGTATACGCTGAAGCTTCCGAGAAGGATGCGCACCCACCCGATGTATTATGTGGCTTGCTTACACCGTACTAGGATCCGGCGCAAGTGAATGCGTACTGGAATACAACACTGAGATGCCACAGAAGCGTTGGCGCCGGGGCGTCGCTCGGTCACCCAGAAATCAAACCAGCAATTGGTTTTGAGCACAGAGTGCAACAACTTTCATTTCCAACGGCGCAAGGCGCTCCACCCTCGCACCAAGTGCCGTATTCGCCTGCTGGATGGCTAGGAGCCGCTCCGACAGAGCACGGTAATTCTTAACGCGAGGCAGTCGGTGCACACAGTGCTCCAGACTCTCGAGGTCCCCCGCACAGCGGTAGGCAATCTCGGAGAGATGCTCGGCAGAGTGCCGATAACGAAGGACTTTGTTCTCCAACGCTCAAAGAGCATCGCGAGTCACCGGACGGCGACCAATCAACAAAGTCGTCATCATCCGCCGCTGACCCTTCCAGTGAGAATGATGGCGTCTACTACCACGTGGAACGCCTTGTGGGTCGACGTCGCTGACGGGGTTTCGCCAAATATCTTGTGAAGTGGCGGGAAACCCAAACTACTCAGAGAACTCGTGGGAGCTTGAGGTGCCACTTCGGCAAGGCTGCCCAGACGTCGTAGTCGCTTATGATCAGAATAATCATGATACTTCGCGTCGTCTTGCGCACCGCATTTCTCGGCAGTAGCCCAGGAAGCCAGAGGGCCATGAGCTGAGTTCAATCCATGACCCTAAGCATGCTGTAGTTGTTGATTGACCCGTGTGAGAAACTTCAGAGCACGGAGAAGCGTTAGGGATTGTCCCATATGTCGCGGGGTGACAATACGCAGGAAGTCAGTGTTGCGCCTTATATTTGGCAAACTCATATCTAAGATGGCGCTCAACGCGCACGTCTACTTCCTTGTGGCTTCGCTGTAAGGTAGACCGCGAAGAAAGTTTGCGGTGCCGCTGCACCCATCGCTCAAAAAGCTCGTCATCACCATCTGCAGCGATTTCGCCAGCGGCGAGAACCACAGGAATGGTCCACATCGCGGAAACAGGAGCACCTCTTGTTTGAGCTCAAAGTCGAGCGCGGTAAAAAGCGAGATCGCAGAGCATTCCGCTGATTTAGCTCAGCTTGTGTTCTGGCCATAGGCCATACTTCGTTGACGCCGAACGATCAAGTCATCGCGTCTTTTGCTTCAGTAGCTGGTTTCGCCGAGCGGAAGTCGTGATCCACACGAGGGTCTAAGACAGAGCGTGGATACGAGCGCGAAAGGAGTGTCCGACTCGTAGTCGGCTTCCTTCACGAGGAATCTGTCGACCGGGTCGGGTGCGTTGTGTTGCGTCCAATTGCCGAGGGCACGGGATTAGCTTCCCGTGAAGCCGCGGCCGTACTGTCCGGAGATACGCCTGGTGTAGAAGAAGAAGGGCATTGCCCGTGGGCGCCCACGCTACCGGCTAGGCTGGGTTTTTGGGGTGTCGTAGACACAGTGCTCATAGAATGGTGTAGGTTTGAAGTTGTTCTTAAGAAATGCTAAGGTGTCTCTCAGATACGCGAGCCTCGTATGAGGCGACCATTAAATTTGAATTAGGACAATTCCACCAGGGAAACAGTGCCTGTCACCCAAAGTCTACAAGTTTCAGTCCATACTCAATCTTAAGACGTGCAAGCCACGTCTTACCTAGGATGGGAAATACCTAGGATCCAGGTCAAGGGCGAGCGGACCTTCTATGCTGTCAAACTCCTTATATAAAAATTCACTGCGTTGTCAAGTAGGCTCAAAAGAATCTAAATCGCCTTTCTTGATCCACTTGCAAGAAGCGCAGAAGTCAAATTCGTTTTCGGCAGCGTCAACATCTCTCCTCACCGTTTTATACAGTTGCGCGACGTACGTTATGCACGACACTCGTGAACCTGTCAGACCTTTCCAAAGTTTGGAAATTTGATGCTGACAGCTAACAACTCCTTCTAATTCTTGGTGTTAGTCGTTTTTTAAAGTTGAATTTCGTAGACCTCAACCTCTAGAACTAGCAATAACATTTCGTTTTTCTCTAGCGTTTACCACTGTGCCGACCAAGACTCGACGTTTTCTCGCGTGGGACACTACGGACGAGACTGCGCGGGAGCTCGACCTTTTAGACGAGAAAGAAGACGCTGGAAGGCGGCAGATGTTGATACTGCGTTTTATGTGACAACTATTAATTGCTTGTAAGAAAGAGATAACCAATTTCGTGCTCAACACGGCTGAATGTATGTGCCCACGCGCCCTCGTAGAGCTTTTACTTTTGGTGCTCCATTCGGCCATCGCGATACGAAAGAATTACTCCGCGTTTTACACGACACCCACCACATCTTCCGAGGAGATTGAGTGCAAGCCCGCATGTACTTATTCTCTTCATGCGGATGGCGGCCGGTGCCGTTTCTTGAAGCGTGTTAGCTGACATCTGAGCGCATTCAACTCTCGTACATGATTGACCGCACGCGATAAGACCATGCGGTGCGAATCTTTTGCTTTAGTAGTATACATGATGTGAATATCTCGTTAACCGAGCTCTCGCATGTAACGGCTCACCATCAATCTTTGGCCAAGGGACCGCTAAGCCGACGCTGTAGCTTCGTCTGATGCACAGCCGACCTCGCGTATATATACAAATAGATAGTCTCCACTATTGCTCTCAAATGACTTGACGCTCACCAAAGCTGCCTCGCTCTCCAAAGATTTCGTGGAAGCAGGTGGGCAACGTCAGATCTCTGGTTAAGGAGTTTTTGGAAGTTTCCTATGTGGCGACTGGTAACCGCTTTTAGGCTTGGAGCCACCAATCGCGTTATCTTCTCGGAGCCAGCAAGAGATAGAAGGTGTCTTGGTGCCGCGAGGCCAGATCCATGAACATATTGTGTTCCATTCTCACAGAGGATAAGCCGTAATCAGAGTCCGTCGTCGGTCGTCGGATTGACAACAAGTACTACCAAATGCAATGGGATTGCATTACAGCTAGCTGAAACGATTGCAATTCGCACTAGCTAATGCACAGGGGATGGGCTCACCAACCACCACTTGAATGACGAACCGAGGGTCTATCAAGTGAACAGTACTTCTTAGCTCTAAAAGCTATTTTGAAATGATACTATATATGTTTACTATCCCCGTTAATAAAATCATATATGGCACATAGCGAGAGATTAGCAGCCCTCGTGTCTTAAAAACCGCTCTCTACAGAGAGTTCTCACTCGCAAGCCGTTCTGAGAGCTCATCATGTCCATCTTAGTACTTCACTTTTAGGAACTTTCTTCGAGCTTTGCTCTAGGTAGCATAGAGTGTATGTGCTAAACGTACGCATAATCGTATTCAACAGCGGGAAGTACTGATTAGTCCGATTCAATTGCGAGTGATGGCCAAGAGGTCTACGCTGAAAGCGAAAACGAAGTCTCTAGGTAACAAGCGGTGATAAGACTTGTTTTTGTTATTACGAGACATTAAGCATGCAGACCATTGTGCTATATCCCCTTCACAAGTGCAATATCTACTAATTATAACGGAACTGAGTTGTGCAGTTATCTGGAAAAGCGAGTAGCAGGCCCTCAATACTAAATTAAAACAAATTTAAATGACCTCGATTTTGCGCAGAACTAAATGTGACTAGAAAATGAATCTTACAACTTTTAAACACTTTAACCTTGATAAAATTATCATCTTTATGCTATTGTAACTCCCAAGGAAATTTACACAAGAATCGGAAACCTTCCACAAAATTTGCTTCAAGAAATTTGTCACAATGTATAAATATAATATGTGACAGTAAGAACTGTAGGCAAATATGTAATGTCTGACTCTGGGCGATCCAATCCACACGGAAGACATGTGGAACGTAGACAGCCGGTTCAAGGTCATTGATGAGTGTAAATGTCCAATCGATATTTGCTGCTTGAACCCTGAGATGCGTGACGGATCTAGACACATTATCCTCCGATCGAACAAACAATTGCCATCGTCTCGATTGTTATGTAGAGACCAGCCTGATCCACCGACTCCATTCTATTTTGTCGTACTGTAATATGCTCGTCACAGCGTAAGTATAAAGCTACAGCACATGTACGGAACAAAGGCGTGCCTGCTTTATCGGAAAGAGTCCGTTTGGTTGTGGTACGAGCTATGACACTTTCTCACTTACCAAGCGGAGTAGCAAAAAAGTAGTTGAAACAAGCGAACAACCAAACGAGATTCTCTCGCTGTCGTTCGGTACTCTTTAGTCAAGAAGATGCCCCGCAGGTCGTCCACTGCTCTGTCACGTACAGCGTCCGTAAGCTCTACTGCTTCATCGTAAGTCTTCTACGTTTGCAACGACTTCAGATAGTTTTACAGTTTGATGCTGATAATGACGTTGCGATTTACGTGCGTAGACATCAAGGTGGAAAACTGCAGTTCCCTCTGCCAGATGATTACTTTCCACCAGTCAGCCTCACGCTAGCTCAAGTGCAGCAGTTTCACACTCAGGTGGAAGAGCTGGCCATTGACGCAATGGAGTCATGCCGGGATCACGAAAACCGAGTTGCCGGTTTTAGCATCGCGGACGATAAGCAGTGGCAGGATGTAACACGAGATTCAGACTTATCGATCGTCCGCCGCAAACAGGGATCGCTCACGATAACACGCACGTTCGGTACAGTCATGAGCAACTTCCGCCGCTTCGTAGACTTTTTTTCGTCTGAGACGTCAGAGCAGCTATTCGCTTGGAATCAATTTTTCTTTGGATGCGCTGTTGATGCCGTCGCGTTGTGTAGTCTTAATATAAACAAGTCAGCGAAACATGCGACGCTTGGTATCAAATGGACTTGCATTCAGCCTTCGATGCTCACGCGCAAACGAGACGAATGCTTTCTCGAATATATAACGTATAAGAAAGACGATCAAGGCCGCGATGTGGCGATAATTGTAAGAACTCCCGTCGATATTCCCGAATGCCCGCCGTTTCCGCACGAGCTTAAGACAAAGCGGGAGAAAGTCACGTCTGTCATGGTAGTGCGCAAAGCGGATTTGTGTCCGGACAAGACGCAGATTTTTATGCTGAGCAAATGTGAGCACAAGGGACTCACAGCTACCACCAAGTTTTGCAAAAAGCTTTTACGAGCATTTAAAGACGTGTCGCTCTCTGCCGATGCAAAAAAAATAGCCACATCTCCAGGATTAGCGGAGCAGTCTTACGCTGGAGGCGATCCTTATTCTATAGGAGATGGCATTAGGCCGTGGGTGCCGCCGGCTACTATACAACAAGGCTGCACGGACTGCTCTCGGACCTTTCGAGCGGGTCGTCGACGTCGTTACTGTCAATTGTGCGGAGACATGTTCTGTTCAAAGTGCCTTGTCAGACGGGCTGGAATTCGGCAAGAAAAGAATGGCACGAATAACCAAATCCCCATGACTAGCCAGCGAACATTTCGTGTGGCTCAGTCGCTCTTCTGCAAAGTGTGTGTCGGTCGTACTCGTGAAGAAGACCCGGAACCTATTCTAGAACATGCCGAGACAACCCGTTCCTCCGTCGTCTCGTCTAAGTCGTCTCAAGCAACTCGCCGTTCGTCTCTGACAAAATCGCAGATACCGAAGTCATCCACGCCGACTTCTTCAGTATCCCGTAGCTCCCTCTCGTACCAGAAGGATGCGCCTCGACGCAGTGCTACCTGGATTGAAGAGCACCGTAATTCTTGGTGGTCTGAAAATGAGTCTGACACGTGCAGCTGGAAGTCTGGCTCCAGTCGCTTCAGTACTATCTCACGCAATTGTAGCGGAGCCCCCACGGTGCGTTCGTCCTTTAGCTCAGAGTACTCCTATAGTAGAAATTCTTTTCTAGCGGTGCAGTCTTTAGAAACTCCATGCGAGATTGATGCAGACCGGATAAATGACTGCATTGATGAGCGCTCAAGTATATACGAAGTAATTGACACAAAAGACATGACACCGGAGTCGGAGCATCAGAAACAACTGCGAAGTCAGCAGTCTTCTGCCTCCGTGTGTACGGACTCCACTGATGATGGCGAACATCATGATGGTATCCGTAATCGATACACATCGACGCCAATAGCCCCAACATTTTTGCCGCCGCATTCTAACATTGCCCGACGTACACACAGCACCGACCAGAATGATAATGCTGGCTCATCCAAGTCGTTAGAACAGTGCATCGCGGAGCAAAATGAGCTTCTACAACAGGTATTATCGGCGAGCCGTGGTTTTTCTCCTGATGTTCGGGCACGAGTCAAGGCGTCTTCCGCGGGTCAAAGTACTGACGATGATGACGACGACGAAGGGCACGATGACGGCGTTTATGAGCTCTGATTTAACCACGAAGATAGCGGTTTGAATAAACACTTCCCATTTTTCATATTCGCGCTCACTACGAATCTGTATGATTTTCACACTCGATGCTTTTTTGTTCATCTCATAAAGAGTTTAAGAGTTTACAACGTCTCCAGGAGCAGAAACAGCACAGCGTTATTTTCCAAAGCATTCGTATGTTGCCGCCAAATAAGTATCTGTACAGGAGTTGGTTGGTTAAAGGGAGTGGCACAGAAAGAGATCATTTCTAAAAGAGGTGCGTACGATTTGTGAAGATAACCATTCCGCTCCTGAAACCCAGTGCGTTTCGTAAGAAAAAAGATTATGGTTTGAGACAGACCTGATAATGAAAAGTACTTTTGGCTGGATCTGTAATAGGGCTGCATGAACCGCCAATGCGGAGGTGGTTTGCTAATAACAGAGCAAGCCACAGAGTAGTCACCGCGACATGCTGTTAGACCTCGTCTACACACAGGTTGCTGAACATCCACAAAGTTTAATTCCTTCTTTGTCTGGCCAAGCGCTTCCAGGCCGGGGCGGTAGGTATGCCGTTCCCTTGCGTTTTCAGTTCTCACATAATTGGGCACTACATGAACATTTTTTCGCGTCCTGGTGTACAAAATACTTAAACAAATCTTTGTCAGAACATTAAGCGTAGGCAAACCGACGATAGAATGAAACATACAATGACTTTTGTGATGTTCCATCGAAATGTGCCGTAAACATCTTGATAATCAGCTTGTAAGAAATTGAGAAATAAATTGTCGTGTCTCGCCTCGATTGTAAAGTGCTTCTCCGTTGCAAATTTGGATCGATAATAACATCGCAGTATTGAAACGATATTTGTGGATATCGACTGTCCCAAAATCTCAGTGGACAAATTTATTCGCAATATATTGTTGTCAGCATCATCTGCATTTTTCGCGACCGACACTTCAATAGATAATTTGAATAGGTTATGCTTGATCTTAAGGCTTGCATTGTGAATGACGCACATTGATTTCACTTTCAGCAGATTGTCAACTCATTATTATATCTTGCAAATGCTTCTCTACAGGTTTGACGATAGTATGCAGACATCGAACTTTCGGTGGATTATCACGCACAGCATTTTAGATCTGTAACATAATCACCATACTTTATCTGAACGACTCGTCTTTTCAGCACAGCCTCGGAATCATTTCGATGTTTCATTAAAGCTTTGTAAGCTGTCGTTGGTAGCTATTTAGTAGGCTTTCATTAGGTCGCTTTGCATCACTTCCAGTTGTAAAATCTAAACCTAAAGCTTGCTGTCCGGATTTTCTCATCAACAATCGAAAGGAAATTAGCTTGGGCCAGCAGCAATGTCACATGTGCACTAAATGAGCATTTGACATTTTTTAAACAGAAAATGACCAAATTAAGATATGTGCACGCCGTGATGGATGTACGAAGACCTGCTTACTTTACAGGATACGGCTGCTTACATCCACTACTGACCTGTTTGCAAGGCTTGTGTTTTTATCTTTAATGTTTAAAATGTGCGCCTGGAATTTCCTCAACCGCACAAACAGATTCCAGTAGCAGAATCAGAAGACGTTTGTCAGCCGTCTCAAATGCTTTTGTAACCTCATTTGACATGCCGTGGTCACGAACACATCGGATTTCCATAAACTATAGAAATTTCATGCAAACTATATATTTTATAAATTTGCAGCCAAAAAAGTTGCCAGCCCTCTGATCGTATTTTGGTTTGATAATGATAAATAATACACATTTTATATCCTTTTGATTTACGCAAACGCATTTTAACCTTGCATTGATCGATCACATCGAGTCTAAATGTATGAGATATGTATGCTCATGTAAAATCTTTTTACCGGACTACATTAATGCTACTTCAATGTTTGTGCATTCACGTACTCATTCGACTTTTTAAGGAATTTTGTAATGTTGCATAGCTGAAAGCTATATACTGTGGAGCTCAGTGTGACGGCTCACTAACAATTGGTCATGAGCACAACTAAAGCATCACTTATTTTGATCAAACTACATGATACAAAGCGTTTGTTTTCAGCGTAGTTTTTCCAGCCTTAAACTCAAAATACTTCGACCACCATCTTCCCAGTTTCACTTTGACATACAATCTCATGATGACGAGTCGACTTCAAATAGCATAGTACACAAAATTGCAATGTTTCTATGTTGTAACCCGGGACTTTCGTATAAACGAGACAGCTGCGTGACGACAAATGCGATGTCCGGACGAGTGCACATTGTAAGATAAACAGACAGTCAATTGCTGGGTGTCATGGTCTCGAGCGCATCTCCAAACGCGCAGCTTTTGTACTTTGTAAGATAAAGCAGACAGCCAATTACGTAATATTATGGTCACGAGCACGTTTCCAAACGCCCAGCTTCTGTGCTTCGTGAATGTGCTGGCGACAGTTTGCGACCGGACGCGCACAGATTATCGACGTTCTTGGCGCTTTTCTGGTCAAATCTCTTAATCCTTCGTGATTGTAGCGTGTCTGTTTGATCATCAGGGTTGCCGCTGTCCTTTCGTGGTCGATTTCCATGCCCAAGGTGAGATTCGCCAAGCAAAGATCCCTCACCCTACAGATACTCCTTAACACCTCTTTCACCTCAAAAACCTCGCCTCTCGATTTGGCTGCAATGATCATACCATCGAAAAACAGACAAACGTACACAGCACTTCTTTGACCCCAGACGCGTTTATCCGGTCCACAGCTTTTAAAGTCGGTCTTTTTGAGGACATGATCAATCGTCAGCTCCACGCATGTGTAGCTTGCTTGGGTCCAGAAATGGCCTAGTTTAGCTGACACGCGAAGCCTTTGGCTCCCTTGACACCTAGCGTAATCCCCATGTAAACACGATCTGACAGTACACTGACAAAGAAGGCGGTGTCGCCGTCCAGCTGTTCTTTTTTTGTAGCCAGATATTGCACAAACTGTCAGTGCAACTCGAATTGAGTTCATGTTGGCTACTGGAGAGTACGACTCAACGAAACGCACGCCGAACTTTTGCTTCAAACCCTTGGTCAGCAATCATGCCTTATAACGCACCACACTAACATTCTTGTAACGGGGTTACACGTACCCTGGTATATTGGGGTAGGTCACACAAGATGGTGTAACAACACAATGGTTTGTCTACACCTCAACAAGAAGCCACAACGTGGCGAGACTGCCAGTTGTTTTTCTACTATTGAGTTAAGAAAGACTATCGCTTTAGATTTAGGCGGATCTGCCGGTTTGGATATTGCACAAAAGTTTTTATTTGCATTAAGCTAAGGTTTTGAAAACTTATGGAGTGAGCAAATTGCGATTCGCTACACTCATACTGGCTCTATTAAAGAACGTAAGGCTTCCTCCTAGCAAAGAGCTACGGCAGCCCCGCTGCACTAGGTAGCATTTGCATCTCCACCTGAGTCGTTACGACTGATCCTCTGTGGAAATGAAGCAATTCTCCTATTTGCCCCAGGACATGCAGGACGGGCTTAAAGAGCTGATGTCCATGCATGCCCTGGGGCATGCAACACCTTGCTTTCTCAAGGACTTGCAGCGATAAGTGAGCTCCTAAAGGCGTTTCCGAGCTATGAAAATGCTTTGCTAGAGCACTTAGAGCAGAAGATGTCGGCGTCAACTGCGTCCATGACGCCACCGTCGATGACGGATGACTCCTTCCGACCCAGGCCGCTCATGGTAAGCGTTAAGACCTTCGAGAGTAAGGATAGAGATAATCTCCTGCTCTGGATAAGAAGGCCGAAATGGCTATGGCATCTGCCATGCTCCAGAACACGCAACAGCGCGTGGCGCTAGCTATCTTTAATATCGGGGGTCGAGCGCGAGAATGGGAACAGAAGTGCCGCACTTCGGTTGAAGCAGCGTTTCTCTCTTAGGCGGAGCTGAAGCTACAGCTTTTGCGAACATTGTCGCCGTCTGACCAGAAATATCGCGTGCGATCGCGTTTCCTTGCCGCCTGACTGGGCAAGAATGAATTGGTGGACTTTGTCCAAGGGTTGCGTACTCTCATTGCCAGATGGCGTCCGATCCTCTTCCGAGGCGCCCACAGTGACCGTCGTTATGGAGGGCCTCCGCGCTGGCGTGGCTAAATGGAAGTCGTTCGTGTTCATCTGTCCTCTCCTGAAGAAGCAATGAATGTGGCATTGAATGCCAAATTCAACTTTAAGCCGGTACGTATTGGTTGGATTGCACACCCTCAGAGCTCTTCGAGCGGGCTTGAGCCAATGGATCTCAGCTTTGCTGAAAAATAGAGGGCAGAATTTTGAGCTGCCGGGTAGCGTTCGAACACCCGACGGTGTTTTGTCTCTGGAGACACCCATCACTTTTCGATTGGTTGTCCGCTGCGCAAGGCGCGTCAAGGTTCATCTTGCCGACGTCCCGCTTCTCATCGGTCTTCTGATTCGTCTCGGGAGAACGAGAACACCCGGTAGGCACCCAAACTGAAGAAAAATTGAGTTCTGTTGAGTCGCAAAGAGCCAGGGGGTAGTTGGGCCCAGCCATGACGAGCTTCGTGTATTTGAACACGGAACGTGTATGCAAGCCGGGTGTGCTACCGGAGATTCGATCGACTCCGGGCGTTGTGCAATTATGCTGGACGCTCCACGATAGAACGAGGTCGACCGTATGCTGTAGCACTGAAAGCGCGGTTGGGTGACACCGTAACTGTTTGCTTAGCGACGGGGACATGTGCCACGGTGCTGAGGGTCCCTGATGTCAACTTTCTTGACTTTGATAGCATAGGACGCTGCACAGTCTTAGACTTAGATTCAAGGTATGACCTCACCCTTCGTATGACATGGTTGGAACACAATGAGCCATGGATCAATTAGAGATCGAAGACCTTGGGCGCTACGCGCACGTCTCCGGGTGGAGTCATAAACTCACCTCTGCTAGGAAGAAGAAGCGCTATTGGCGCGGGCACTGGACTGGGATGGTCAACGTGATCGAGATCGGAGTATTCGAGTTGTCAAACACCGAAGGTGTATTGGACAGGAGTCCCGAGCATGGCTTATGGGCTGAACGTGGAGTGGCTCGTAAACCACTGAATGCTGCTCAAGTATCAGAGCAGTCGCTGCATGCCATACGTGGTATGATCGGCCCAGAGCCAAGGAGCGAGGCATCGAGGGCGATGCCTCAGTGATGCACGTAGAGTGGCACCTTATCCACTGGACGAAGACTGCGGGGTTAGCAGCTCTTCGTCGGATGCTGTTCATAACATCAAAACTCCTGGAGTGGGGACAACGGACGGCGCTGAGTGCGTGTCCCACTGGTCTTGTCGAGACGGGAAACCTCTATGGGAAGGCAACGGCGACACCGTACGTCGACGCTGATCAAGGGTGTTCATACCGTTGACAATATCGCACAGCTATACACCCCGTCGACGGTACGAATGGTAGAGGAGACGGCGGCGTCACCCACGTGGCTAATCCCGCAGTGGATGCTCTTCTTGAGCTGCGCGAGATGTCCTTGGAAGAGTTCGGCAGTGCCTTGAACGCAAGCGACTTAACCAAAGTAGTCATTATACAACCGGACGAGGAGATCGACTCGCCATCACTTCTGGACCAAGCTGTCCTGGAGGGCACCAAGAGGGAGCTGAACGCACGAAGTGGGTCTTCTATTCGATCGTATCCCTCAGATCCGTACTATCCTTTGGTAAAGGAATTCCAAGACGTCGTCTAAAGACCCGCCGTCGGTCCTACG